ACCTCCCCCCGCTCCCTCTGAAGCCCTTCTCTTCCTCTTATTTTGGATGCATCCAACACGTACCCTGGGGAGATGCAGTACAAGCGGGCATCTGATTAAGGTCTGCATCTTGCCCCCAACAGGTACAAGTGCTGTTTCCTCCGGACACACATCTGGCCGAGCGAGCCACAACACACGCTCGGGAACACCTGCGGCAGAAACACCCAGGCCCTCCCTCGCCTCAAACGATCGGGATGCTCCATCACTCAGAAGTGGGCAGAGCTGGCGGACGCTTGCCCAGAGGGGTCCTCGGAAAAAACACCCAGAAACGAATAAATCAAACGAGACCAAGGGAGAGAGACTATGACGAGAAGAGAGACGAGGCCGGAACCCGGTGGAGGAGCCGAGACCGGACGAAGAAGAAGAGGAGAGAGAGAGAGAGACGGAGAGTAGAGGGAGGGAGAGGTACACAGACCTAAGCATGGAAAAGAAAGCATGATCCAAGTATTCGGAGCAGCACTAACTGGTAGGAGGAGGAGGAGGACGAGGAGGAAAGGGGGGGGTTGTAGTATGAACAGGTGCATTTGAAAGGCCGCACTATCAAGAGGCTTCATAAGCACTGAATACTCTGAGATGAGAGTGTGAGAGTTACTAAGTACCTGTGTGAGACAGCATGTGCATCCGTAGTCGCATGCTGTCCTGGAAGTGTTTGCCACAGTATTCACAGCCGTGGCCCTTCTCCTCGTTATGCAGCCTCCTGTGGAAAGACAAACACTAATGTGAGCGTGTTAACGGAGACGAGAACAGAGCGAAAAACACACTTGTGATAATAAAAGTATCTCATTTCTGTGCTTTTTTTTCCCCCTGTAAGGTCTCCCAAACCCAGAAGCATCATTGTCCCCGTAACAAGAGGAGCATGTTTTAATTCCGGCAAGAATCCCTCGCTGAATGCAACATCATTAGTGTAAGAGGCCCTTGGAGTTGTGAATCACAACGCATGAATGCTAAAAGAACACAGACAATAGGATATCTGGCTAATTTCAGAGTGCAGACATACGCGTGCCTCCACCCGCCAGCACTGCAAGACACTGGGCACGCACACAACCGCACAGGCGCACACACACACACACACACACCAACGCGACACAGGCACCCACCAAGTACATGCAGCATAAACTGACAGGCCTCCTCACATAACACACACGCAAACACACACACGCACACACTCCTGTAACTGCAGTGAAAAGGAGGAAAGAAGATGATTCGCTGAAGCTCCGCCGGCAGCAAAACCTATCATATCATATCACACACATCCAAGCATGCAAGGCATCTGTACTGTTATCCTTGTATCACCCCGCTAACAGCAGAGAAATGGCCTCAGAAGAGTCCACGATTAAACACACTGTGGTCAAAATAAATGAATTTAACACACATGTAATCAACATTAACATATTAAGGAAAAAGGGTACTTTAGGAGCTCAGGAACACTGGCACTTTTGTGGCTCTTAACTGTAAGTTTAAAGATTTGACCGACTTTTAAAGACGATAACTTACTAGAGAGTTCACTTAAAAAAAGCTTTAATTTAAGGTATGCTGGTGGCCCAGCAGTCTGAGGTGTCAACCACGTAAATGTGATTTCCTTTTTTTTATCTCCACTGTTAACTATTTAATAAAAGGCAAATATACGGAGCGTCTCGGTGGCCTCAGGGTTTAAGGCGCTGACCATGTAAACCCAACATTGAGTTTGAGTCCAGCCAGGGACATTTGTTGCATTTCATTCTTCATCGCTCACCCCTCATTTCCTGTCTCCACCAAAATAAAGACAATAATAAAGACACCCCAAAAATTATTTTTAAAAAGATAAAAATGCCTTTAAAAAATATTATATTATTTCCTAAAAAGAATACAATGACAATAATACATTTTAAGTTAATTAATTTAAGAATGTTGAAAATTTCTTTTATTAGCAGAGGTAATATTAACCTTTAAAACTACCTGAAATACTAAACATTTATTTCTAATTTCGTAATGAAATTTCTTTGTAATACATTTTTTTTTTTTGTTCCTTTATTGTACTGGGACTACTTCAGAAAAAATTCCAAACCTAGACCTGTTTGATTTCTGTAGTTCTTTTACACTAAAACTGCACAAGGAAATACTTCTTTAACACCACTGCAAAATGTCAATCTGCAGACCAGGTGTATGCTCAGTGACCTGGTTACAGATCTACAGAAACTTCATTACATCCTCAAGCAGTGCCACCAATGCCGCTCCTTCAACCTGCGGACACTGTCTCCATGAGTAAACGCGCATCACTAAATATCCCACAGGATGCTCTGTTTCACCAGGAGGTTTCAACACAACTCTGGAGTGACACGAGGATGAAATGTCAGCCACAGGCGCGGATAGAGAGAGACTGTGATCCTAATCACGGGTTAGCTGCATATTAGGACTTTTGGTTCACAGATTGTCTTGTTTCTAATGATTAGTGATGAGTCAAACATTGCCCAAGCATGCACAATTATAAACATCTGCAATCAAGCTAATGAGAGTTGTCACTGAGCTAGTCGGTAACTTTTTGTGTACAATGACAAAATCTAAACTGACAAGCTCGTAAATAAAAGAGGAATAAACAAAAAACAACAGAGCGAGTCGTGAAGCAGAAGTTATCCATCATCTAGCTGAAGCGTCCAGCCTGGTCCCTGCTGAGAGGCTCCTCTCTGCTGATGCAAAGGAATGCATATCAAATAGCCTGGGAGACAGCCTGTTGTGCGAGGCACGCTTCTGCACAAATAATCAAACAGAATTTAGAAAATCAGGCTTTGTAAATAACAGCGTTATGCGACACCAAGGCCTCTTTATATCAAATCCCTCACAAAGACCCGATTCAAAACTTGCCGAGACGTCTCACTGTTAAGACATGAGTGCAGGTGTCCCTGAGAATAAATTAACATATTTGGTGTTGCTCCTTCCAGCTTTTAACTCTCATAGTATTTTAACATGATTGGGGGAACAAATCCTGAAGCCCAAGAAACGGTTCAATTCAACAGACACATGTCCAATGCTTTTTCTAACGGCATCATCTAAACTACTTAGCTCACATTCATCATACAAGCACACATGCTCATCCCTCTCATCTTTTATTAGACATGTTTGTCAGTAGAAATGTTGCGCAGTGAGTGTAGCAATGTTTTTTTTTTTTTTTTCTTCTTTTCTTTTCAGCAAAAACATCACTGAGACTAAAACTATAGCCTCTTTATTTTGGCTTCAAAAAGTGATTATTAGATTTTGGATCCCAGCTGGATACAAATTGTCTTTTAGTTTCATTTTCTATTACTTAAGATATCAAAATAGATTTAAAATATACTATAATGCTGCAAGAAAATGAAAAAAGAAAATGTGGTGTGGATGGATGGTTTTGTGCATGTTACCTGTGCTGCTCCATGGCCTGCCTGCTGTGCAGCTGAAGCCCACACTCGCCACAACACTGCTGGCTTTGAGCCTGGCCCTCGTGCCTCATCCCTGCCGCAAACTGGCCCAGCCTGCTCAGGAGCTCCCTGTGCAGCAAGCCCTGGTGCAGCAGGCCGCTGTAGGCCCTCGGGTCCAGCGGCACGCCCAATGACGGGGCCACTGAAACGGACACTGGCAGCATCCCCTCCCCTGTGTGGTTGGAGGGCACAGAGTATATGGAGGCCAGATGTTTCTCAGCGATCCCAGGGAAACAGTCAAGAGAGTTGCCCACCACTTGTCCTCCGTCTTCGGGACCTGTGTGCAGCTCTCGAGCGCTGGTGATCACGCTGCCTCTCAGAGGCGTCCCCGGGCCCTCGTCTCTGGGCTGGTCTGACATGCAGCTTCCCTCTCCGGTGCTGGAGGACCTGCCCTCACAGCCATTGGCATCATCCACCTGCATATTCTCTGATTTAATACTTCTGACAGGATCCAGGGATGAGGCCTGGGATAACTCTGCACTGCGGTGCTGGGGCTGCTGGGAACTCTCCATGTCGACCTCCGTGTCCAGCTTGGGGCTCAGTTCAGGAGCCGCCTCAGCCTCTGGACCAGGAGAGCCCCTCTCTGTCATGTGGTACAGCGCCAGGTGGTGTAGAGCAGTGGGAGTGGTGCGGTTGGGTCCATCCTGTATGGAATGCTTCTTGGACATCAACATGTGCCTCCAGTGCCTGGCCCGGTTGTGGTCACTGTGGTCTCCGGAGCTGTGATTCCTCGCCGCCACCTCCTCGCTCTCCTCTGCCTGGATGGTCTCGAGCACCTTCAGGCACTGCTCCTCCAGGTACTCGATCTCCAGGATCTCCGCGGCGTACAGCAGGTCATCCAGGTCCTCGGCTGTGGCCTGGAGCGAGGCGGTGTAGGCGTACTCCAGGATCTGCTGGAAGGTCTTGGGGGACAGGAAGTCCAGGGCGTAGCGCAGGCTGCTGCGGTGGAACAAGATCTCGAACATTTTGCTGGTGCAGGCCAGGACGGTGCGGTGCGCCGGGAACTCCTGGCCGTCTACCGTGATGATGACATCACACAAGGTGCCCGACAGGCGCATCTGATTGGCCCGCTGCAGAAGCGTGCTGGGGTGAGTGGGATTGTGGAGCTGGAGCACACCCATGTTTGTCAGACCCGTATCCACTCGGACCTTTGCTGAGGCCGTGCATGAGGTGTGGCTGTCCTGCCTGCTTCGCTTGCCTTCAGCTGGTTGTAGGTCTGGGGGGGGTGGAAGATCATTAGTGCCCGTCTGGCTCACAATGTGATATAAAAGACAGTTAATTATACACCAGTGTCCACTCCATGGTCAGTCAGTAGGAATAATTTAAAAAGAATATAAATCAAAAAATATAAATTAAAAATTATTCTGTGAAACATAAAGCTTTAGGGCTTTTATTCCATGCACGAAACATGTTTATTTATTTTAATTAAGAACCAAAGACAGACAACAGGTCGATACGCGCGAAGCAACAGTTTCCATTGCAGGTGATTAGTCTGAGGTCTCGTTGAGAGCGGTCACGTCGCTGTAATAACGTCTGCATACTGAGAGGTGACGGTTCAATTTATCAAGCTCCTCACACACACACACACACACACACACACCGTGCCCTCAACAGGTAGCCCTGCTATTAACAGACGCCTTGAAGGGCTGATTAGTTCATTTAGGCTGCGCACGTGCATGATTAGACGTGTTAAAGGCAATTAAGGCTGTGCTAAAAGGAAATCCCTAAATAAGTTAGAAAAAACTACCAAAATTGACGAAGGCGTTAAAATGAAGCGCGACCCCGGCGCGGGTGCGTGTCTGTTTCTCTCAGCGCGTTTAAATATCTAAATGACAGAGTGAGTGATGATCCGGCTCTGTGTGATGATTAGTATTGTCGGACCACTCAGCGGCACCTCGAGTGATGCTGACAGGCTGCATCCTCAACTACCCGCAACAGCAGAGCGCATCAGGTGCAGACGCACAAAAAAAAGAATCCACCTTTTTTTATATTATCCAAACACGTTGCGACGAATGAACCCCCGTACCATTATTATAGCTTATTTACCGGCTGCACGGTGCGTGAGGGAACGCGTGCTGTCTGAAAATAAGAGACCCAGTTTGATAATGTCGGTGAACTGCACAGTCTGCGCTACAGTCGGAGCTTAATCAAGTTTGTTCAACGCTAAATCCGGCTGCGGAACAAACTTGGGTCCGTTTCCCACATGTGTGCTTTGTAAAACGAAATTATAACAACCCGCCACAAAACTGCCATTATTCACAATAATAATTGTTAGAATTAGTGTGAGACTGTAAAGTAGTTGACCGGAGCGGCAATGATCCAGGAGGAATAATAAAAAGTGTCGGCTGTCACATTTGTTCTTACCTCTGTCTCGTAACGTCCTCCGCTGATTATCCAGGCAACATCATGGTTACACATTTCACAGTACCCGCTCCAAACTCAGTCCTGCTCCAAGTAAGCAAATCATCACCCAGCCGCGACAGTCAAACCAGCAGGGGGAAAACACGACTTCCGAGTGGAGCTTTCAAAATAAAAAACCCTGTCTGAAGAACCACGTGTTGAAATGTGTCTTTTAAACAGGAGAAAATGGGGCAGTGTGGATTGTCAGGTTGAGTGGGATTGTTAGGAATAGGGGAAATAGAATAACCACTAATAAATGATTATGCTGCAACAAAACGTAAGAATTTAGGATATTATTTATTTAATGAGTCAAATTAAAAATGTAGATAGACTCAGTCAATAATATTAATGTTGCACCATGAGGTTATGTAGCACAATTTTTTTTCTAGTGCTGAAAATAACAAGAGGAGAAGCAAAACATTTGGTGGGTGTCCACAGTGTTTATCTTGACATAATACAGCAACAATCGGTAAAAACTTAACAAATCATAGAAGGGGAGGAACCTCTGCGGTGGAGTTTGTCTGCCTCAAGACAAATGTTTCTTGTATTGCAACTTGGATTATAAAAGAAAATTCAGTTTAACTGTGTGGATTCTGTTTTAAAGGTGTGTATATTTAGGGAGATCTATTAACATACATGTAATATAATATTCATATTAATGTTTTAATTAGTGCATAAACACCTAAATACAAGAATTGTTGTGGTTTTGTTATCTTAGAATGAGCCGTTTATATCTACAGAGGGAGCAGGTCCCTTTTTTTCTTTATCCTAGAACAGACAAATGCAACTCTGGGTCTATAAAAGGCCTTTTGCATTTTTGGAAAGTTTTGTGGCCACCATAGTTTCTCCCACATGCTTTGATTGTTGGTTGTAATCTGCAACTTCACCGCTGGATGCCATTAAATGTTACACACTGGTCCTTTTTAATGATCAGATTTATGCAACAGTTCTTCTGTTAGTGGCCCCGCTGCCACTAAAATCTATGTAGAAAATACAGGGAATTAATTTGTTTTGAGACACAATTGGAGACCACACTTTTTGTCTTTTAAAGTCAAGCAAAAATGTGGGAGTGTCTCTTTGGTGTGCGAGCAACGCTGAGCAAGTTGGGGGAAGGGGAAGCAAGAGTGACATACCTCAAACTTGTGTCTGACCGGAGGATATTGAGATGTTACAAGTGAAACCTTTATTCCCCATCTGCAACTGTCTTCATTTTAGACATTGAACAGATGATTGCCAGATGGAAACAGGCCTATAGACAAGATTTTAGAAATAAGAAAAGGCTGTGGTATCCGGGTGACCTATAGTGCTTTAAGGCACTCACCGTGTGGTCAACTGAGGTCAAGAATGTCAGTCCACCCAATGTACCCATCCCCCTTAACCCTTCAACACTGTCCCATTGTTCAACTGTTCAGTTATTTGTCTGTAATTGTTTTTTTTCCTTTTTGTCCCTTTTTTCTTTAATGGTTACTGAAAGCAGGCATATGTATATGAGACTAGAAATACTGGAATCAGCCTATAATAAATACCCACTGTGTGTAGGTTTTAAATTGTGGCATGCAGTGGTAAATTTACTCAATCTTGAGATACTTCTCTTTTGTAGTACTTTACACTTTCATTCCACTACATTTATTTAACAGCTTTAGTTACTAGTTATTTTGTAATATTTTACATATAAAAATCAGCTTATGAAATATTATAAGCTCATTTTTGTATTGCATTTAAATTAAACTACAGGACATGCTATAAAATAGTTAAAATCAGCTCCACCTAGACCAGCTGCAACATTTAAATGTTCTTGACATGTAACTGTATCAGTACAAATAATATAATGTAACATGAAGTCCATCTTTTCTGCATAACAACTGTTTTTATTGTAATGCATGTAGCTGATAATACATTTTGAATGCAGGACTTTTAGTTGTAATGAAGTACTTTTATATTGTGGTATTAAAGTATTAGAATCAAAATAAAGATGAAGATCCCCTCCAGACATTAACACATATCTACAAATATTCTTCTTGGGAAAATATATGCATTTTCTACAAAAAAAAATTATATTTTCCCCATTAAAATCCTAACAAAGGCATCTACTCCTTCTACCCCTTTAAACTTGTTTAGAATCTACAAATTATCAAAATTTGTTCATTTCTAAAGTTTTCCTGTTGGACACAAGATGTCTCCTAATTCATTGTAAAGTTAATTCTCAGTGTATGTGCACTGGTGGCTTAAAGTTACTACATTACACTTGTATAAATTGCATACTGGACTAGGACTGACTTTCAAACTATTTGTGCTGTCACACATCACGCTCGTAGGCCCCGCCCCTTTAAACCCAGATTTTCAATGAGCACAGAGAAACTTTCCACTTTCAGCAGATGAATGTGAAAACATCCTTCTAGTGTCAAAC